AAGCCACTGCGGCGAAGCATCAACCATCCGGTGACCTCGGGTGGCAATTTGATGTTGGGCTTTTCCACTTCACGAAGGGCCTTTCTGTGTTCCGCGCAGTACGACATAAGAGTTTGGTCGCTCCGGCGGCTCATGCTATGGAAGAACCTCTCGAAGCTTCGTGGTTGTTCGACGCGGCTGTCGTAGCGGAAGGTCTTGTCCATAACTTCCATGATCATGCTGAAGTCGTCTTTGTCCTCGCTCGCCTTCTCGGCGATGGGTTCCACCTGTTTCCATACTGTCCCGCTCAAGGTCGTGAGCAGGTTAATCACACCTTCCTGCGGTTTCTTCTGCAGGATCATCTTCTTCTGGTACAAGTGGATTCTGGCTCTCCACTCCTTGTAATCAGTGGGTTGGTTGCTAAAGACCGGGACCCATGAGTCCTTTGAGGCGTCCACGCCTTGCGAACTTGCCATAGCGCTCGTCAATCTCGAAGCAGCAAATCAGCAGCGGGCCCCGTCAAGGACTCCGCTACCAATTTGAGGTTGGTAGTAGCAACCCTCAAGCAAATTCCTCTCGAAGTGAATTTGCCTATCAAGTAGTCGTTCGTAAACAAATGGTGCGGCCTTTTCACACCATCGCGGCCATGGCTCTAGTGCACAGTGCATACCCACCCATCTAGGATAGACATAAAGTCAAGGAAGTGCGTGGGGCAATTTCAGCCCAAGTAACGGGAGTCGCTCAAGTATGGCCTCAGAACAAGTTCGACGGCGTCGAATTCACAATATACATTTAAAAAACCAAAACCATATTTTTCATAATTATATACATTATCAACAAAATTCCATATATCATACTTCTTCATAAATTCAAAAGATTATTGTATCATAAATTTAAAATATCCAATGCATATAATAACAATATAATAATATCGAAATAACATATTAAATTCAATTAAACATAAATACAATTATATTCAAATCTCAATTCAAAAAAACAATATATCAAATTCATACATATATAAATTCATATATTTTCGTAAAATACATTCAAAAACACACATCAAAAAATATACGATTTACAATTAAAAATAAAAATTTATCAAGTCGATTAATCTAAAATAAATCAAAGTAATTCTTCGTAAAATTCAAAAATATATATATATATATATTTATTCAATTATTTCTATATATATTTAAAATCGAAAAAACATATAATCTTATACATAAATATACTACATTATCTTTCAAAACACATATTTATACATATGTTCATAAATATTTTATATATTTTATATCATATGTTTAATTAATAAATAATTGTTTCAATAAATAATATGTGATATATATTTAGTTATATATGTATATATACGAATTTGTTAATTATTTGTTTTTCAAATATATCATTGGGATATTCTTTGGGAGAAGTGCCAACCTTTAATGCCGAACAATGCATTATTCCAAAACCAAACCTACACCTAGACACATTAATTCCTAATATAATAGGATCTAATTCAATGCATGAGATGTTACGCTGGCGCACTTCCCAGCCACGCAACGGCGCATGGCGCATGAAAGTACATCGGGAGTTCACCCCCGGCTTCGCATGTTCAAGTGACAGACCCAAAGAGGTGGCAAGTGGATGGGTTTTGAACTACAATGATGTGGCCCCTCCAAAAAGAATCTGGTTCTTTGGGAACATCACTTGAAAACGCCTGGATATTGCCCCAACATGGGAGATCACCTGGCCGTGTCGGTTCACAGTGCCAAACACCGGCGCTGCTGACAACAGCCCCGATGATCTGTAAAATAGATGGCTCCCCCTTGGGGAGCCTCTGCTGTCCAATTCTTCTCGAACTTCGATGGCTGCAGCTGCAGCCGACGACTAGATCAAAAAACTGGTATCTCCTGGTTCTAGTTGTTTGCTGTTTTTGATCACGCCACATGTGGTTCATTGTTCATTGTTGTTGGTTTGTTGTTTGTGGTTCATCTTTTTCATCCAATCACATCTGCTGCCGACTTCACTGGTGGAATCATCGACATGTGGTACACCACCAGCCGTTCCAAGGCCTCAGAACACGAGGACCGTCACTTGTTTCCAACAAAGGTCTCTTTAACCCAAAAGCGATTGCCTCCAACCTTTTAATAGTGACGGCCTCCAACCTAGAAGCAAGGTTTATCTATCTACCCAGACCACTCAAGATCAATTGACATGCGCCTTCGCCCTCCTCGCGGTCGGCGAACACCTCGGACCTCCCCTGCGCGGTCACCGGTCCTCCAACGCCGTGATGTCCGTCACCGCGTTCTTCACGCCGAGTCGCTGAGCGCATCCGGTTCAGCAACTCCACGTTCTGTGGCTCCTGGGAACGCTCCGCGCGTTTCTTCCGGTGGAGCACGTGGGTCGGAGTCCACCGGTCTACTCACCACCGTTCGGTGGACCAGTTCCCCGGAACCGAAGATGCGATTCAGCGAGGGGAGTGGGGTCCTAATGACCCAAAGTCATCAGGAATATGACCCAAAGATGCTGGAGTATGGCAGATCTACCCACATTCAACCACAAAGCCACCCCAATAGAATTATGTTAACCTGTAACCTCCACCGGGTACAAAGTTTAGACCCTGCTCCTAAGTACTAAAATTTTAGACTCCCACTTTGAGATCTGATCAGCCCCTTGGAAAAAAATCTGCCCCTCGCAGTTTTGGCAACTTTGAAAATCATCGTGTCCAAAGGAAAACATATGAGCCCACACCCTGTATTGTTTCAGATCCAAAATTAATCAACAGCACCGGTGCTTACCTCAATTGGAACTGCGTGCTCGATATAAACGGGCCCTTTGAGGAACCATGCACATGAGTTGTGCAAGCACATTTTTTGTTTTGCACCAAAAGAATGGCCTCAAACATGTTTTGCTTTTGTTGGAGTTCTTTGTCAGCAATATTGTCCAAGGCATCTCTATTAATCTATTTGTTGGACCAGCCCGACTCCCAAGCCCTCCCATTACAACGTAGAACTGGAATATGTTTACTTTCCAGACGCGAAAGCAGGTCCGAAAATTGAGCCGACCCCATGATGATGAACCAATACTTTCAAACTAAGTTTAATCGCCTCCTCTGATGAAAGGACACTATACATCACGTTTTATATGGTGTGGTCTTGCAATCCACCAGTCAACAATTCCATGCATTGGCGTCTTGGTGAATCAAGCAAGAATCAGAACTCATATGAACTGACCATACCATATGGTATATAAAAGAAACAACATTCATATGAATTGATATGGCTGAGTGGCCTGGGTCCAAATCAGATAATTCATATGAATTGGTGGCCTGCTGCATCAAAAAACAACTGTTCACATTCATGACATGAATTGGTCTCATCTGTCACATGAACCAATGAACAATTTCATATGAATTGGTGGTCTGGGAACATATGAATTTACTAGACCGGGCAAATCCGCCCCTAGACCAGGTAAATCCGCCCTAGACCGCGTAAATCCGCCCCTCGGCATTTCGTCATTTCCCAAACGCGCAATTCATATGAATTCATGTGAGTTTACCCGCACAAGCCACACAATTCATATGAATTGAACTGTTCCCCCATCGAGACATGAATTGACTGAAAGAATTATTGATATCCTTTGTTCAAAGGATGGTCCACACCTTCTCCAGCCCTGGCATGGGACGATAGATTTAAAAGCAGCACGCTTGCAAAGTGAAGCTTTTCTCAATCGATTCAAACCTCTTGTCACTTTTCTGGAAAACAGATATATATATATATATGATTCTGCGCAAACTAATTTGAATCTACAGATTTGATCCACTGCACAAGTTTGGCGCATCGCCAAACACCAGGGCAGAATAGCATAAATCATAAAGAGCGACAAGGACCTGCTATATCCGTAACCGTTGATGCAGCAGGAGCCTAAGTATGGTTAAACCACAGCGAAAGCCTTGAATGCACCAAAAAAACGGTACGGTATAGTCATAGTCTGCAGAATGAACGGCTTCCACTCACTTGGAATGGAGAGCAGCTGGGACCCGTAGCATACCCAATAATTGGCCAGCTTCGGCGTTCCACTTCTGGATTTTTCATACCAAATCATTCGATGAAAGGTTCTGCGTTCTGTCACGTGTTCAGGGGATGTTCTGTAGATTGACAGTTCAAGCCCATAGATTTTTCCGAAAAGTATGTGAATAAATGACCTTTTGAGTATGTTCGAGCCGTTTCCTTCATAAAGTTACGCGAAACGATAGCTGAAACTGAAACTGGCAAAACTTGCAAACCAAACCCTCGACCCAAGAATCTGCCCCTCAGAAGGCAGGGGCGTTTTTCATTCCAGGTACTAAAATAGGGCACCCATCGGTGGTTCCAGGAATATATATCTTAATATTGATCTTCCATACATGGAGTGAGTGAGTGTATGGACAATAAACTGTACCTGGTCGAAGAGTCGAAGATCAGTGAGTTGCACAAAATCGATGGGCTGGATGCCTGGATTGTTCCCTCCCTCCCTCTCTCTCTCTCTTGGCAAAGATGGCCAAAGGGACTGGACAAACATAATGTGTCCGTTTTGGAGCTGCTGAAAAAAAAAGACAAGAACTATATATATATAGGGGATGGTTGCCAGACCCGCCCAGTCCAAGACCCTAGGAATCATCTAGGATTGAGCATCCCAGCATCCAAATTGTCACAAGGTTGTGGTTAGCTCGGCTCGTGCCCTGGAAACAGGAACCCCCAACAACAAGCGTGAGAAAACACCAACCATCTGCAACACTGATAAAATCGCAAAACTCGTGGTACCCACAACTCTACACCACCATTCATCCACTCCCATTGGAATATCTTGAATCCTTTGGACTCCGCGTCCGCGACCTGCACTGACCGGTCCTTCATGTAGGGCTGAATGGCTCGGATCTGCAAGTCTTCGCACCCCTCAGGGATCGCCGTGGAGGCGACGCCTGTGAAACCATTCTTCCGGTTCAACCTCGGTGGTCTTCGCAGACGGCATATGCAGGATGGGAGGGGAGCTTTTTTACAGTATATAAATGTTTTTTTTTGGCGGGTGCGTTTGATTTATTTGGGACACCCCAGCACTTTGATGCACCTTGTATTCTCTGTTTACCAGCCAGTAAGAAGGCTTCAGTACCAAGTTTGGGTGCTGGCTCAACTCAGGATTCCCATCTTGGGACCAATCCAAAGCAGATGAGTAGCATCCCCGGGTCTTTCAGTGATTTGAGAGGACGGTGTTTTGATGTCAAACAGCAGCATGTGGATTATTCATTTGAGTGTTTCTCTTATCCTTGATCCTTCTGCGGAAGAACAAAAAAAAGATTTTTCGGGGATCTGAGAAGTGTCCTCCGCGGGCTCAGATCGAAGAAAAACACGAAAGCTTCAACAACATCTTCCGAAAGTCATTGGAGCATCCACGCCCGGACCTACAGTCGTATACCTTCCAAAAGGGGGGGGACGTGGGAGTTCTGTGGAGAAATTCCCAACTCCGTAACTCTGTATTCTTTGGGTTTATTCTGTTTCGTTTGGGCATAGCCTCCTTGTTGTGCAGATGACTTTTTCCATGTTCCATTGGCCATATAGACCTTATAGACCTCCGTGCTCCCCACCCCGATTGGTTGGCAGACCTTGATTGGAACCTCAAAAGAATCAACAGCACAGGCTTCCCATGGATTTCCCGGTGTCCAGTCTTTGCGGGAGGCTCGTTGCTTCGTTCGATGTTCCCAAATCCGGGACCTCTTGGCCTGGAAACACCTGGACTTGTGTCATCCCATCGATCCCATACTAGACTTGTTTGTGGTATATACTAATCCCCCTGCAGGTATGTAATGACGACTACTATTGATTGATGAAACAACAACATAATATGGAGATGTATACCGTATACCTAGCGCTTCCAATGGGTGTCCAACACAGACTTATAAGTATAGTGTAGGGTTGCCCAGCCAGGCGACTCCGAGTTGGAAAGAGCTGGTATAGAACAATTTTGCTATGGGGCCTATGGGGCCTTCGATTCATCAGCAGTCAACGGACCTCCCCCTCGCCATCCATCCCCCGGCAGGTGAAGAAGCACAATATCACGTAATATCAAGTGATCAAGTGGGATGTGATGGTCATGGCCCTAATCAGCAAGAAGCGACATCTATCACCAAAACCATAACCATGTTGAACGCAGGTTTTGGGGGATATCGTATACGCCATCCAAATCTGCTGCTCAAGACGCCACCAATGTCCTTCCACCGCCTCCAAGTCCTCTATGCAACTGTGCGTGCACCACTCATAGATAAAGCATACCTCCAGCTCCGAACTCCGCGAGCTCCGTGAACAATCACCCCAGAAGGTCACTTGAAATGGACGAACGCATCAATGATGCATGGTGACTGGTGTGGATTCGCATGGTTAGGAGTTCCAAAGTAAGTGACAAATGACATCGAATTCCGCAGGGAGGAGTGCCTAACTCCACTCACTTGTTCGTCGCTTGCGGCTTGGCGACGGGTTCTTCGGTGGAACCGGACACCGGGGACGGACGCATCGATCGACGGACGCATCCGGTGAGGTTCGAAGGGTCGAATGCCGATGAACACCACCCAGGGCCCATGACAACGAACACAACTGCAACCAAAAATCAGAAAGGACATGGAACAGGTACTGGAACAGGTATATACAAGTGGTTGGTGAGTGGAGTGGATCTTCCTGGTCATCCCTGGTCTTGGCTTCCAGTTGGAAAGATGCTTTGGACTGACTGACATATCCTTCCAGATCTTTCACAGTCCTGGGATGTCCTGGGTATATTGTGTAATTATGTATACCTGGGCCCCCGGGCCAGGAGTGTCCAATAATAGCTCCTTAGAGGTGATTCGGGGTGTCCCTGAACCACCCCTTAGGGCCCTGGTAGTTGTTCATAGTTTTTCCATATTGTTCCCTATAGTGTGCATTGATCAGTGCGTTTTTGCCTAGCGGGCAGCTTTCCCTCCCTGTCTCTGTGGGCCTGATCGCACAAGGGTGCGTCACAACTCCCTCGATGGAATGCATTGACCTGGCACCGGACGGCGAAATCATGGGCAAAGTGGTTGTATTAATGGTCAATCTCAAGGTGTTTGTCTCACCAATGATCTGAATCGCCAATGACTCGTATATAAACAATCAAGTATATTCGTAAATAAGTTATATCAGCTGCTGCCCTCTATCACAGGCCCACAGCATGTCGCGTGCAGCATTCCGTGTAACGAACCCATGTGTATGTCCCACCACAGCTCCACCGGTCCAACCCGCACCAGTCTCCAAAATGGGGAGACCCGGAGTTCTCTTCAGGGTTTGGCTGCAAAAGGCTAGCTGCTGGTATGTCTCAAGCAAGGCAGCTCTTGGAAAGTTCGCATAGCTAGCAAAGGGAAGTACTAGTACCATCCAAATGGTCACCCCCCCCCCAAAAAAAAATATATATATATATATATCCGTGGTCACCATGGCCCAAATATGTTCAAATACAGTGATCTCTTTATCTTCAACTTTTTGAGGTTGCGGCAGCGTCCGTTTGAAAGGTATCAGCAACGGAACACTTACACAATTAGTGCCTCATCCATCCTACAGTAATAGACTAAGAGACTGTAATGTAATTTAACCAACATAGTCTCCGTCACCATGCTCGTTCTTCATGTAGCCAGACTGTTTCCCCACAAATCTGCTTCCCCACTTTCCCTCAGATCTTCGTGCCCCCTTCCTTCTCCATCCCAACCAACACTGCTATACCATCCCAATCCTGCTAAACTCAGTTCCGGGCGCTTCCTTCTCCCGCCCGTCCACCGACAGGGAAGATGCTCCGGTGGTCCGAGGGGCAGTGCTCTTCTTGTAGCCGGCGACCTTCGCGAAAAGGGGATCCTTCGCGAGCTTCGCGGCCTGGCGACGACGCGCACACACACACACACACGGAGACAGTTCATACTAAAGAAACCCAGGGGCTAACCATAATTTCCTTCACTGGCTTTCCCCGTTAAAAAAATTGTTGCTATTTCTCTATCTCTGTCCCTGGGGAATGACCTTGGAATCCACCTTTGTGCTCCAATTCTTGGGACCCGTCTGTCGCTTCGCACCCGACTGGGACCAGTGATGTGAGGGTCTTGTCAGGTCGTGAGTCGCTTACCCTTCCTCCCTCTCCAGGCACAGTGAGCCGGGTGCTTCGGGCCCATCGTGGGCCCATCTGTCTCGTTTTCGGGCACCCCCGAAATCCACGACGTGTAATCCTAAGGGGCAAGAGCGCCCAGATCCAAGAAGGGGCCAATCTGCCTCCCAACATCTTCGTCTTACCTGACCCCCTATGACCAAAGCCGAGGCGATAAAGGCACAAACATCCTAGGCTCTTTAATTTTCCAACAACAGGATTTTTCTGCAGGGTGTATATTATTAGATGTTGGATGGTACAAAACTATTGCGCACAAAATCCAACAATGAACAGAACAAGGATTATCATATTCATGGTGGATTACCCAGATAAAACTAGAAGAAACTAGCAAAAATGAACGATTTCTACATGGGTTCTTCGAAAAGACCTGCACACGGTTCACAGAAACCGCACCATTTTAAGAGGCACCAACAGAAATACCAAAACAAAGCCCCCTAAACATTAAAAAACAGGCCGGACATCGAACTAGTCCCAGGCCATGGGAGAGAAATCAACGTTGGTCTTTTTTGGCTCTGATCCATTTGCAGTAGATCCAGTTTGATACCCCCAAGTGATACCCCAAAGGGATGACATTTGATCCATTTTCTATCAATTTGGATCCAATTTGATACCCCAAAGTTCTCAACACTTCTTCAACTTTCAAGACCGGCCCATCGACCATATACTCACTCATCATCTGGCCAGAATCAACACGCGCCCCGATCTGGACAAAAAAACCACCCGCCGGCGATGGAAGGTGCCCAGCGGCATATTCTTGCATGTTCTTGTTGGCCAGCGGGGCGATCTCCTGATGGGCCAGCGAGGCGATCTCCAGGCCACCGTCAGATCTGTTCACCCCTGATTGATCAGTCAAAATGCTGAGTCCTAGTAAGTGATTTCGTGATTTGTTAGTTGTTCTTCACATTTGATGACTGTGACTCTAGAGTATATCATAGTATTATACATTGTACATATTTTTGTGCCAAATGCTGTTGGCAGCAGCTGTGCATGGAAGCTTCACATGAATCCTCTTCTAACTGGTGCAAAGTGTCCCGAGTGAAACCACAATACCCTGGTTCTTCAAAGTAACCTTTTGATCCACCAGTTTGAGGTCTTGAGCCTGAGGAAGGTCACTCACTTTAAAACCTTTAAAGAAGCTGGACATGAATCCACTATTTTATATGTGTGATCCTTTCGAACCCAAACATGACATTCTGCTCATTCTGCTCCGACGCTTCCCACATGCTCCAAACCGGACATGGAATGCTCGACCCGGAGAAGCGACTGGCCGCAGCGACTGGCCGCAACCGGCCGAACCTCGACTTCCCACGGATTCAGCGAATTTATGCGCTTCGGAGAACCTCGCCCTCCTCCAGCCGTCGGTTTCTCCGGTCCTCTCGGAAGTGCTTCCACTCGTCTTCCGAGAGCTCGGATCCTGGCGCGGCCGCTGTGTGTCGCGCTGCTGCCGCTGTGCGTCTCCATGGAGGCGCTGCCGCGTCATATTGATGAAATCATCAACCATGAATCAATGAGGAGATCCAGCAACTGCAGTCTGCTCAGTAGGTTATTGTAGTATCAGCATCTTCTTCTCTTCATCTACTTTCTAAAAATCGACATTGAAAGTCTGCAACTGAAGTGTTCTCTCAACCCAGGTCCATTTGCAAAAGAACTCAAGCAGAAGGACCCCATAGCAGCAAACACCATTTCTCCCAAGAACATTGTTCGGTCGGAGATTACTGCTGGTATAGTGCAGCTGTCACTTACATCCGCTCACCCACTTACTTTTGGGGGCAGACGTCAGGACGATAAACAAATCCCATCCGCTCACCTTCGGTCATGCTTCTGGGGGGCCCAAAAGGCCCAGACGATCGGTTCTTCCGACTGAATCCCCCCCCGAGATGGGCACGCCTCGAAAGAGGGACTTGTTCTCGGGGCGCACCTGGGCCACAAACACTTGTTCTGGAGCGGCCGAATCGGTGTTCTCTTTAATGTCCCATAAGCTGACTACAGTACTGACTTAACGAATGACACAACTCCAAACGTGATCATTTTCCCTTGTGGACGATAGAATGGGTCGGGATGGGTGTGAATCAATACATGATCCACCAACAGTCTCTCCCGTTCTTAACACATCTTCTAAACATGACGATTCGACCTTTGCGGTTCAATACAGGCGCAACAGCGGTGCAACAGCGCCACATGAAACCCTGTGACTCGGAGTCGTGCGTGAGAGAAAGCGGGAGCCGTCGTGTGGAGTGGGGGGTCTTTCTTCCATCGCTAGTTGGGGCCCACTAATGATATGAGGGACCCACCGCAGGAATTACTTTTTAATTAGCTGCCGATGGTTACAGTATGGGTACACCCCATGGGTACCACCTCTCAGCGAGGTGGCTTTTTCGGCACCAAAGAGTGTGCAAGAAAGAATGCCAATGTCAAAAAAGACTCCCACCCCAAAGCACTCGAAAAACGCGCTGCCACGCGCGAATCAAAAAAACAACACCATTCGGCCCCAGCATGGGCACCAAGTTCCCCTGGAACTCATCCACAAAAGCAATGATGGAAGCCGACAGCAACTCCTGGGCTCGGGCAGTGCGCGTGGACCGAACGCCGAGAGCCGACCACATCCCTGCATGGACCAAACGAACAGCCTTCTAAATGGATGGAAATGGGTACATCTCTGGTGTCGATTTTTGTTGGTGCCAATGTTTAGAGATTAGAGATTTGTTCATGAACAACTCGCCACACCCAACAGCCCAAAAGCAGCCCAAGTGAGCCGGCAAAAAAAACAAAAGGGCTTCTTTGAGTGGACCTCGGATGATGATCACAACGACGACCAGACAAACCGTGTGGAACGTGTTCCGCGGTGACCGGGGATGGACCAGTGATGGTGACCGGTCACACGGGTTCCGCTGCGCGAGGTCCCGAAGGCTGTATGGCAGAGTCTCCTATAACATCCTACCAGTACAAAAAGCTTAAACATCCCTGCAAAGAATTGCGGATTAGTCCTCAGATGTCCTCAGATTCTTAGAACTTACAACTTTTGCAACGTAATCAATCCCAGTCATCCATTTTGCAAATCTGTCCCACTTCCTTCCAAAAGGTTAAACGTCTGGCTGCGGGCCATACTTCAAACCTTCTACTGCTACCGCTAGTGCTGTGACCAGTATGTATTACTCCTCACCAAACGTATAGAACTTCAGAGAACCCAACCCCTGAGAACAGGAGTGGCCAACCCATGCAACAAACACCTACTCTCATTCTGCCGCGTCCCCTGCCACCCCCAAGAAATCCACCCCCTCGACTTCTCAAGCAAGGCTGCTGAGCGGTCGGCCAACTGCTGCGCCAGGGTAGGGGACGCGAAGCTGTCGGCGCTGATCGTGCAGGGATGACACGTCCTCGGTGGCCAAAGCCAGGCACGGTTCGGTGAAGCACGCACGTCGTTCGAGTGCCCCAAACCGCGCTCTGGTTGTCCGTCTATCTGCCTACCTGCCTGCCTGTCTGCCTACCTACCTGCCTGCCTGTCTGCGTGATCAGGGAGAATCACCCGATCCTCTGGCCCCGAGACTCTCCGAGACCATCGAATCACTCATCTACGGGGGTTTATCTCTTGAGTATCTTTCGAGTACCAGCTTGCATCCGGTCGCAGTTCAAACCGAAATGGCCCTGAAAACCAGGCCGACCCCTCTCACCCGCTCCCAATCGTCCGTTTTGCCGTGATGCTCTCTGCCAAAGAAGACAAACTTGGAAATGTCTACCAAGGGTCGAGCCTCATTCTTGCAAAAGTCCGCTCCATTCCATGCTCACGAACAACTTGCACCGCTGCTCAATGTATAGGTCTAAAATAAGAAGTGAGGAGATGAAACCAATAATATATATATATATGTTACATGTTCTTCAATTCAATTGTGATTCAGCTTTGCGCCCCATGGGAGTTCTTGCCTTTTTTGTGACAAATGAGCAACATGTTGATACTTAGAGTTTCTTGTCAATTAAACAGCCAAAAGCAACAAAGGCCCACAACTGCATGTTGACACTTCTCCAACCCCCCGACCGGTTTCTTCAGCTAATTGATGATCTTTCAGGTGGGTGAATGGAGGGTCCCTCCATACCATCCGAGCAAGTATCATGTGTATACTTATATATATATATTATGTAGAATATAACATAATATGTTATGACATGTAATATGTGTGATCTCTCTTTATCTATATAATGTGGATGTGGCTTTAAGTGGTGCGACATGCCATTCGACGTGACGTCCTCCGCCGGGTGCCGCCCCACGAGACTCGGAAATGCAATCCCAGAGGCCGTGCAGAGCTTGCCTCGGCGAAAGGATCGACCCCCAAAGAATTAGCGGAGGACGTCCAACCTCAATGGGAGAGACACTAATGTAGACCTCTTGATCAATAACCATTCCCATTTTGCATTGAACAGCCTCTATAGACTCGTGGCGACATTATTGATCAAGAGTCTACATGAGTTAGTAGACCACTTCGTACTTTCCGGAAGTTCTCATCTTCCAACCCGTTTGTGGCAGTCTATCCATATCTATTCAGCTTGGGGGAGGTCCCAAGTCTTCTGAGTCAGAGAATGTCAAGGTTCTTCCGCAGAAACGCTCGATCTCGATTCCCGTTTCCCGATGCGTCACCCGCCACTGCACGGCGGAAAGGCTCTTGCGGTGCGCCCAAGTGACGAATCTTGTCATAGTCGAAGGGCCCAGGATCCTTCACGCAAGGCATCCGGAGTTGGGCCGATAGTTGATTGGCATGACGTTCTGACCCATTGCCGTACTGTGGGAACAACATCTTGCCACTACCTGGTATGGGAAAATCCATGGTTTGTCATCAAGTATCCTGCGTCCAGCACGGTATAAAAGTACACTATCTAACGCATGAGCTTGTCAGGAGAAGCACGTCGAAGCCAATGACTTCACAGGTAGAAAGGAAACTTTTCCTCAGACTGGGATGCTGTGATGGTCGAACTGTTTGCTTTATTTGCTAACTGAATGTTTGGCCATCAAGCTATAGGTGCAGCCGGCTGTAACTGTGCACATCTCCCAAGACACTCCTGCTCATTCTTGATGGTCGTCCCCTGCGTGTTGAAGCTTCCAGTGTACATCACAACCTCTTGGCTGCCAAGCACGGACGGACTCACACACCTCTGACAGAACTCTGGGCTTACATTCAAAGGTTCCTTTTTGATTGAAGCGACTGACTGACTGGAGTCCACGAAAGCAGAATACCATACATCATCATACATTACATTACATGACCCTCAATTTCAATGTGTTCAATACACTGGAAGAACGAAACATGGAAGTGGGAAAGTCGCCATCTAAGTTCAGGAAGCATGAGCCTAGACGAGCTAACTCTTAGACAAGTACTAACTCCCTTGCAGGCTAAATGGACACGTTGAAAGAACGTCTTGTGCCCCACCAATGAAGCAACATGTCATTCAAAATCAGTTATATAATTTTATATTATAAGAGTGTTTGCACATCCCAGCTTTGGCTTCCCTAAAGCTCTGTTCTCAAAACATCTCAAAACCATTCATTCACTTCCACCACGCGCCCAAACGCGCCCTCGCCCAAACAACCATGCGCTTGCGGTGCCCAGGGACGTGGGCTTTCTGCGCCAACTGTGCAAAGCCCTCCGGATGTTTCTGCTCAACCTCATTGAGCCTCACAAATCGCTCGGACCAACCAAACAACCAGTAGATACCGTAAAAAGCAACGTGCAGCAGTATTCACTCAGTCTCAGTGTAATATATACTCGATGATCTCAACGTCTGTCGTGGATCTTAGGCGTTCCAATAGCATCCATAGCACAACATGATCAACATGTGTGCGATATTAGCCTTCGATTCCATGTTGCCTCGCACTGAGTGCTGGGAACAAAACAAAAGCACCCTCCAGGTCTCCTTTTGGGTCCCAACATACTGCTCAACCAGTAACCTGTTCAAGGCTCAGGGTTTATATGGGTTTATAGGCTTCTGATGGCTTGTAGATGTTTCCTGAGACCAACCTCCACCCAAAAGACCTTGAGTTCCTGACAAAGTTTACAGAGAGAACATCTTTCACAGCCTACAAGACCTGTTCCGGTGAGCTCCGGGGACCTCTCACACGAAGCTTCTTCGCCAGGTCGCAACTCCGCGAAGATACCCCGTCCAGGCGCAATGAAGTAGACCTACAGCGACTGCCACACGCGCGGGGGATACGCGAGCCACAGAGATGGAAGAGAACGGAACCCGCCCAGACCGCAGAAGCAGAACTACATGATTAAAAACAAACATATCGGCCACTGTATATGTATGTGTTTTTATGTGTATGCTTGTATTTACTGTGTACTTTTTGGTAGAGGTTTCAAGTCACTTTCAGCGCATCTTACTAGGGAAATCCACTGTACTGTTTCTTTTGGGGGGGTGGCTATATCGCTTTATAGTGTTTCAGATGCCTTTGTCATATTTGTTGGGAATTTCTCTTGAAAACATAACCAAAGTGAAGTACACACATGGATATGGGTACGGTAGAGGGAGAACAAGAAAGACCGAGAGAGAGAGAGAGAGACACACACATTGGCGCTTCCTTCCCCCTTCAGGTGACGGTTCTTTTTCTAGAGCTCTTCATCTGTGGCAGACTTCACAGGCACTGCAAAAATGGGGATCCGCCCATCTAGACCACATGTTGACCATCCCGGGCGATCGCTTTGGTATCGCTTCATGTTATATAAGCGGATGCAACAGATGTCCAGAGCTTTCGTCTGACAAGGTTGCAAAGTAGGTTTGAAGCAAATGATTGAAGTGTACCTTGTGAAGGTATCTTTTTGGGGGGTCACCATATCGCTTTACAGGATTTTGGATAATTTCCATGAAATAGAGTAGTTCCCCTGACATAAAGATTTGGATAGTGTCGTACAATACTGGTTGTGTAACAAAAACCACGTATCAAGCCAACATGACCAAGCCTTTGACCCACCCTCCTACCCTTCTGCCCGTACCGCTCCGCGTGGGTTCAAGCGGCATCCACGATTTCCGTGCTGGGCACCACGGAGACCTCTGCGATCTCCTGCAGCGCACACCGGAGGTGGGACCGGGACCGGCAGCATCACAGGCGCGGTGTGAAGCGGAACTCCCCGAGCAGCACGGTGTGAAGGGGGGGTGGGTCCCTGCGAATTCAATGAGCAAAGGTACAGTTTGGGTAGTCCTGGTATGCCATGCATGAACTCTGGGAGGGGAGAATGGAGGGGTTGGGAAAGAGGATGGAAAAAGGATCCAACTCGTTCGCGAATCGCGAGGACAGTTCAGGTCAACTGTGCTTCAGCATTGGAGATACCCCACCTGCAATGACACCTCTCCGGTTCAACGCGTGAACAACGTGTCGTCCTTTCATCGTGCAGTCGTGGAGGACCGTCCTGCGCTGCAGCCGCCAGCAACTCTTGCTTTTCTCGGAAAAGCTTGGGAGCCATCGGATGCACCTCTGCACCGGTGCAGCTGGTGCTAAACCCCACGTCCGTGCGGTCACCGGTCGGTCACCGTCGTTCCAGAGTGAATGGAGTGAGCTCAAAAAACGAGCTCCTAGGCAGCCTATTCAAAGACCCATCCATAATGCATATATTACAGTGACATGAATCAAAAATAGCAACATGTTATATACGTTAATGAATGTTAATTCATGAAAAGGGTATTCAACGGGTCTTCCAACGCCCGTGTGAAAACCAACCGTGCACCGTGTAGACCTGTTCCGACGGGTTTCTATCGCGACGTACGTGAAGACGGCGACGTGACGGCTGGGCCTTCTGATCGAAGTAGGTCCAATTCACTTGGTTTTCACCAGGGTTTTGGACCAAGATGTAGATATCCTTCATGGTGACGCCCAACCTCAGAGACGCCGCGAAGAGCGAAGAGCGACAGAAGTAGAAAGACGGGAAACGTCGAGGAGGGAGTCGTGCCGCACGACTTGGGGCAACTCTACACCGGAGGTCAGACTCATTTCTCAAATCTAATCATGCCCAAACACTGTAAGTGTTGACTCTCGATGAATCGAAGAGACTTTACGGCATATTTTATTCATAGGTTTACATTATTTTACCATCCAAATCGGGGGTTGTATTAGATTCAATGCAGGAGTCTGTATCTTTACAGGATACCCCATTAGAGCCACAGTCTGAGAGCATCAAACAATCTCAAACAGAATTTGTGCACGCATGTCTTGACCGTTTTTTGCATACCTAAACCAAGCCAATGCATACCTAAACCCGCATCCCAATCGATTGGCCTCGGAGCTGTCTCAGCTGAAAAAGAGAAGATTTTTTGAGGCCACCCACCCCAAAGAGAGAAGGACCTCTCTGAACGTTGGTGTGGGGATTTAAAACAGTCAGTTAAAGAGCTCAATGAACATGAATGACCCTCAGATCCTTTTTGACTCTGGTCCGTGCTGTTTTGGAATCTGCTGTGAGGCGATTGGAAATTTAGGCTGTCTAAAATGAAATGAATCTAAACTTTTGGGCTACCACCAGTTCGGGCTACCATCAAGTCCCAAGTTTTGGGCGACCACCAGGTCTGCCCCAACTCGTCGACAGGAAGATTTTTGAGCTGGTCATATGACCGTGCCATCCTTCAGTGCCAGGCGACATCAGGCGCGCCATCAAGATCTTCTTTTCGAAGACTTCACCTGCGCAGTGCAGGAAGGATGTGGTTGGTGCTTCGCGGAAGGATTCAACTTTCAACCTGACAAGCACAAGATGATCAGGCAAATCCTCTAAGTTTCCCTTGACACAGAATATCACACCGATTTAAGCGTTTGCATGCCACACCGATTCCTGATTGCGGGTCGACACGGGTTTCAAGTAACTAAGTAACATCATGCAACTCATCTTGAACCGGTTCAACATATCTGGGATGTTACACCTCAAACACCAAAGACCATCAAAACTAAATAATTATCATGAATCCCCGATCCAATGAGCCTCCTTGAAAAAGGATGTTTCTGTCTCTATCTGTGTCCCATCGATGAATTCTGTTCTGTTCCGAGTGCTGGTTCACACATCCTCCCCCAAACCCGTTGGTTCACACGAGGAAAAAACAAACTGCCAACGGATGTCGCGTGGTGCGCCTCCATCTTTGGTCTTGAAGTCGCAGCAAAACACAATCACAGGCCTTGGTTCATTGAGTGCACCCGGCCCAACCGGTCGGGGTGCCCATGCCGCAGGGTGGGGCTCCATTTCGAGGTAATTACTTGTGTAGGATCCATAGTCCATGAACACACCAGTACCTCTGCACTTGTTGACTTGAAGATACCTGAAACATTCAGAAATGGGGGAAATTCCAGATCCGACAAGCCGGCGAAGGACATCAAGCAATTGTTCAAAGTCTTCAAACTTCCAGCAAGATGTGCGCATCCACTCTCAAAACAGGGCAAACTCCCAACTGATAGACGTCTGCTTTGAAATACTGAGGTTGACGGGATTTGAAGAAGGCCAATAGGCCCCAAAGTGATGGGTTCGGGATCTCCAATTGGTTGGGGATCTCCCATTCAAACAATCACACCCAAGTCGTTCTCTCCCGCAAACTAACATAGAACCAGAGAATTGACCCGTGGAAGACCATTTGCCTCTACAACCCAATCGTTTTGGGGTTCCATGTTAACCTACAGGGGAGTAAAAAATCACACCCAAGTCGTATCCCGTGCGCCTGGAATTCTCGGCCGCTCCCATGTGCACAGCTTTCCACTGCCAGACTTCGGCAATCGCCATCAAATCATCCAACTGTTCGCGGCGTAGAGCGGACATGGAAGGCATGGAAGACATTGACATGGGTGGAGCAGCTCCAAACAAGCACTTGACGCCACCTACCGGTCATGAAGATCTACAGTCGGATCTTGTGGACTGGGCGATTGGTTGCTTTGCATTGGGGGCTATCCTACAATCCTACTTACATGGTGTTCCAGATCTATGTTGTCTTGAACTGATCTGGTCAACCTCTGTCCAAGTCACTGCCTCCTCAATCTAATGGCCACAGCCGACGGCTCTAAAAGTCAGGTGTTAGAACCAGCACTTTTGCCATCCCATTTTGGAGCCATCAATTGAAAACATAACACCGACTCCCAGCAACTTGCTCCGCCCAGCTCAGCTTGAGCACACCACTCCCGCTTCCCTCCTCCAGCCGCCCGCGCCTCGAAGTCGGAGAAGATGATCAGCGGCAGCAGCTGTTGCTTGAGCTCCGGCGCCACATGCGGCCGCAGCGGCTTGGGCACCTCGCAGTCGCGCACCTGGTGAGCTCGTGGATGCGAGTCCGCTGGATGAAAGAATGGTAAAAGAAGGGAGTGGAACCCCAAAATCAGAAACACGCACCCACACAAAGACGGGCATGAACAGTAGCTATTCGCCAGATGCCACAAGCAAATGATCCTCTTCGAAGGTAGTGACAGGTACAAATTGTCACAAGATAATAGATGATATGATATGATAGTTCACATCCCACCATGGATCATGGACGAGACTGGGTACTTTCACCATCGATATTGCATCATATTGCCAAGACAGTCACTATCTAAACCATTCAGGGCTCCAGGTATTCACTTGTTGCCAATCCTGCATAGATCTGCACATTGTGGTCAAACAATATCCCTCTCAGTAGGCCCACTAACAAGGGCCTATGTTCCGTATGTTCACCAAGTTCATTTTGGAAAACACACATGAACATGAATGAACATGAACGTTTTAATTACTTATAGAAGTGGACGACGCTTCTCCAAAAGTACATAGTCTTTCAAAGGGTCTACAAACCGTTTTCCTGTCCTTTTGCATCCTTTTGCCCTTCACATCCCTTCTACAAACCGTCCACGCCGGCATTCCGCCACGCCTGTCCATCCCCCACTTGGCCCCCGGCCTCCCGGAGGATCTCCGTGACACGTTGGGCGGTGCGGCTGTCCCGCACAAAGTTGAGGTTACTCTCGGTCTCCATGAGGCACCTCCTCAAGCCACTGGGGACTGGGGAGCTGCTGAATGACGAAGGAACCTGTCAGTGCCACTTGCACTGTCAGGTGCAGGCAAAGAGAAGAATTCATCCAATTGGATTCTTGTTGGGGAATATGTCGGCATCTTGCCATGGAAGTCAGATGGGCAAAGAAGGGGGCGGCTCAACCGTACGACCCATCCAGCTGCCCAGTGTCAATCACCTTGATTCATCTCGATGCCACAAATCCTTTTTTTAGGGAATCTCAGTCTCCAAACTTTTACAGCAAAGAGCAAGTGGGAAGACCAGCTGTGTCCTAGAAGTGGCACAAATACTGGAGAAACTCGTTCGTTCGGGCCGTTTTCCGAAGACCACTCTCTGGCCCTTGCCTTGAGAAAACCTCTGAGACCTCACCAGATTTGTCGATCGGGTGGAGATGTGAGCCATATGGCCAAATAGGAAACGAGTGGAACCTAAGCACACTGAACACCAAAGACCACTATATATACATAAACATGATTATACAATACAATTATACATATGTACTTACATGATCTTACATGTGTATATTGCACATACACTGTGTTGATGTAGCTGATGCCTTCAGAAGGCCAGAATGGGGAACAACTGCGGATCCTGAATCCAGGTTGGCTCATGCAAAAGAAATCCATCAAATGCAAATCCAAACAGTCTTTATACTACGCCCTCAATGCTGATTGACGTTCGCATGTCTTCACGCTCCCCAACGTGATGGTCCACCCTCGGTGGAGAAGTCAGCGGCAGAATGGGCCGTGGAAGATGGTCCGTCCTCAATATGGTGGACAAAGTTTGCCCATGGCAGGTGGTGAAACTGGAAGTCGAACTTGTTTGGCTACCTGAGTTGCATCTGACCCCCGCAATGTGGGCTAGGTGTCATTTGGATATCCTTGGTGTTATGAAGGATCGTGAAGGAACCAGTTTTGGTGCAACAGTCCTTGCACAAAGAATACCTGCGATGAGTGTCAAGTGCATGCCTCTTGACATCCATCTGCACGTCGCATGCTGAGGCAGATTGATCTTACTTTCCAGCAGAATGCAATGCTGCGTGCCCTTTGATCCGCAAATGTTACAAATGTTGAATGAGGAGCAACAAACCTTGACAGCGCTTGCAAGCCTGCTCCCGGACTGGACTCATGAAAAAATGGGTAACGCCTTGCTAGGAGCTCCAAACCCTTGCGTCCCCCCCTCAACACTGAAGATGCATCCGTATCCCTAATCCGGTGCGGTTGTAGCTAGGTATGCTCAACCAATGATTTAGCTAATCATATAACACGTCTGATCAGTTCTTAAACCAAGCAGCTACTGTATCATCCTCGTCCAACCGTGGCCATGGATGGGACGCCAACCTATATGATCACCTGGTATCGGCTCGATTCAACATATTCCATGTGTTTGATTTGTTTGATTGTCAAAAAAACGTCTTTAAATGTAAATCAATGAAACAATCCAAGAACAAAAACAAAACTATCAACTCCTGGGCTATCCTTGCGTTTGCAGGTGTACTTCGTACACATGTTATACTGCATGTGATACTGCAATGAGTTATGAAAAAGTTATTCCATGAACCCACAGGACCCCTGGAATAACTAAATAAATAATCCAACATCATGACGTTATGTATCACACTGATTTGGAGCTGCCAACATCGGCCCTGGGGGATTGAAGCGGCTTTATGCCTCCGGACCTGAGGCTACTTGGGCTACTGGCTGTCAAGCCAAGGCGATCCATCGCAGCTGAAACACATCGGGGGAACCCCCCCAACCTTCGTCTACGTATACATTTATGCGTTTCGATGATTTATGCAAGCAAAAAGTAGCAGCTCTTTGCACAAGTCAGTTCTCTCTGGGGTGTGGAGATTTAGAGAAATATCCACGCAAAACAAAAGAACCTTCAAACTTGCACTGCCAACTTAATTATATAAGTTTGGGAAGATTTTCGGAGGTGCGTATCCTGAACTGCCACACACTTTTGAAACTGCAGAGCAGTCGAAACGTCGCCAACTCTGCCTGGTTCGCTGTCATGATCATTGACTCTTGATCCATCTTCTGCCGCTCAACTACTCCGTGCCTGGCACGGAGGTGCCTGCGATGAGGGCGACAAAGGGAGGAAAAAGAATATCCCGGCAAGAGACCTCAGTGTTGAGTAGAAAAAGACAAGGGTGAATCAAACAACCCCAAGTGTGACCACATCGTTTGAGGAAATACGTTTACAGTGATGGCGATGACTTAGGCAGTGGCTTAGGCAGTGCATTCCTGCATCAAAGGGTTTCTCTTGCAAGTGCTGGCTAATTCTACAAAGCAAATGGTACACATGTGGAGTGACTTAGGGTGGAAATATGGGACATGAAACAGTGTTCAACTCAGAAAACAAGTTTACTGTACTCAAAGTCCAATCTCCATCATATTTCTGGGTTGAGAGCACCCAAAAGTGAAAGTTCTGCATGCTCCGCCCATTCCTTAAAACATCATATCATATATATATATTTATACAGTATATATATTATTATACACACAGTACCTCCAACAATGTGAGTCAAATCCAAGTGGATCAATGCGTTGCAGATGATAAGTAAACTCAACTTGACTCTGGTTTCTGATGCAGCTCTTGGCTCATCCTGTCTTCCCAGCTGCGAACAAAAAAGGCGGCTGTATTTTGCCCAGAGTCTTTCTAGGCTTTAAATGGCTTTAAACATATTGAAATCAAGACTTGCAGTTGGATAGTCGAGATTCGGCCTGAACCATCACAGCCCACCAGCCCATCACAGCCCACCATCTTCCCCATGTCCCACCACCCCCCATCCACCTCAGGATCGCTCGGGAGGCACGGCAGAGGCCTGAAATTTCCGCATCGAAGGCAGTCTGCTGTTTATGTCAATTCACCAAAACCCAAACCAAAAGAGGAAAAAGCCATCTCCATGACTCAAGCTCGCCATTTTTGGGGGGAATGATGACCCCCCCCCTCACGTGTTTTGATGGCATTTGAGGGACCCTGGACATGGGATGTCTCTCACGTATAGCCCTGGCAAACCTCTGAGGTGTGTTGGTTCGACTTGCCTAAAACTGCCAGTTTGGCTATGATTTTCATTTGAATGGACAACCACTAAGACCAGGCACAAAGAAGTGGTTCTAAGATTCCAATGTTGCCTGGCAGAACCGTTCTGGTTTTAGAAAGCCATCATCATCGTCTGATCTAATCTGGTCAAGTTGTGTCCAGACTGGGCAACCCATCATGTAAGCACCATGGCCAACCATCTCTAGCCATTGAAAACAACTAATCACCTCTCATCAGCAAAACCGGGATGCAGCAATTGTGTAATTTGATGACCTTCCAAAACAAGTGCTGGAAGAATTGTTTGGGTTCAACTTGCGTGGTTGCGAAATCTCGCGATTCACACGGCTCGAAGACCAAACAGGAATCAAGCAACTCGCTTCTGTTGCCTGATGCATAATGATGTGGCAGGAATAGATTGCATCAAAGCTGGAGTATCATTGATGGATCCGAGAAAAACAGTTCACGTATGCAAGGAACAAACCGCGGCATCAAAACATATATGGATTACTAACTAATATGGATCTTATGCCCAAACCCTTTTGAACTCGCTGAGACTCGATCGTCGAACCAAAGACCTCGACAGGTCGATCTATGTGTGTTATAGCGATCTGACCCCTCATGATCTCACAATGCATAGGATTCTAAGATGACAGATAATCTAATCATTATGATATTCTAAGATGTCATAGCAAGCATCAGGGTATCTAGTTGCTACGCTTCAAGTGTTATAGTTATTTCCATCCCATATGCTGTGAATTGTTGGCCATTAAGGAGGCTGAGTAACAAACATCTTCGATGTATATAGTAAACCAGAACTCCTCACTATCCGACACTATCCTCACTGATTGGTTGGCATTTGCCGTATGGATCCGTATGGATTGACTCATCACTCGATCTCAAGCGCGTCACCTCCAACAAAGGTTGCTCATCGGACTCCTGCACCGGGCGGCGATGGTTGGAGGCCAAGCCCTGCTTCTTAGCCTGTCTGCCCTACCCTTTGTAGTTCATGAGTCGGATGTCCATCACCCTTCAATGGTAGCAGTTGCTCTGACCATCGGTGAAGGTAGATCTCAGTGCAACCAAGGACCAATGGGAAGGTCCTAAAGGCCTAACGACACTACATGCCCTCTATGTCTTCGTCTTTGCAATGAAAGAAATGCCCAAACTTCATGAAAAAGCTTGCTGTCCTAAAGTCTAAGCGGTCACCACTCCACCACCCAAAGCCTACATAGACTCAACTCACTCCCCTACATAGAGGGGAGTTTCAGGCGGACGTTTCAGGCGGCTCATCGGCTCCTCCTCATTCACGGGTGCCGGAGGCCAATAGTCATACTCCTGGACGTCGATCCGTCGATCCAACACATGCTCAGCCAACACCGGCGCCCGAGGGTCGGGTTGCAACAAAGAGGAGACAATAGGTTGGGGGGGGACTCCTCACGGCCTCCCTTTTCTGACCATCAAGACCTTCAGAAAGCTTTGTCTTCTACGTGGGTGCACTTCCTTGAGAGAAAACACGTACCACATGGGGTGCACTTCCGTGAGACTTCCAAAGCGGCACAAGAGATCGTCATGTTTTGCGACTCAAACCCATTGGGTGTGTCCGTGTGTCCCTGTTCAGGTCAAAGGCCTGGTCAGTCTCGTGTCCTCGGCCACAGTGGTGAGGGTGAAGCGTGGAAACGTGTGGCGTACTGACTTATATAGTACCATTGATGAAAGAACTCCTACACCACACTTGAGACAGAACATACATAGAAAAATAATAGAAAACAAAAATGATAAAGAACAAATGTATTGCAGGATATTGCAGGTGGTTTCATGTTGCGGGATGTCTGTCTTCCACCGAAGGTAGTACCAATGCAATCCACCAGGCGTAGTTGCAGCAACCTCCAACACGTCTCTCTTGAGGGTTGATGGATGTAAAACAGTTTCTGGGTGGTAACTCTTGAGGGCCTGTTATGTTACTCTCCAACATACTGTCCTACCCCATCAGTTTGCAGCCTTGGGATCCTTTCAGGTTAAGTCTTAGGGTTCCGGATTCCGACGGCCGAAAAAACTATCCCTCGCCTCCATGGAGCCTTTGCTTCTTCGAGCGACTGGCGCCACCGCAACCGCACGAGACCACTTTTGGCTTCGGTGAACATTATATACCAGGACCTTCCAAGAGGTGGTTTTTGGACACTCCTTAAGCTCTAAGAGACTATTTATAAACACCTCTTGGAAGGTCCTGGTATGGTATTTTTTGGCTTCGGTCTGCAGCACAGGAAGCCACCGGGGGTCGCAAAGACACGGTCTGCAGCAAGGACCGGAATCGGTCATCTACCAACCGTGTCAACGTACCTGGGGGCGCTCTCTGTTGATCTCTTGGCTTCTGTGACCGTTGAAGACAAGCAGTAGACAGGAGACGGCAGTAGACCAGAATCCAAGGCCACAAACAAGGTATGGAATGGTTTTTCATGGTTTTTCCAAGTCCTTCCCCTCTTCACTCTTCGATTCAATCGTGGAACTCCACTCAATGACAATCGACACGCAGCTGTCCTAGCTACCTCAACCACATCATCATAGGTTCGGACATTAGATGACATTAGGAAATCAAACAAATCTAACATACATATCTATTTTGCAATGGACGCACTAGACGTCACAAACTGACCGCAAGAAATATCCAGTCAGGTAGTACCTGGGGGATGCAGCTGTAAAATCTGTATTGAAAAATCACATCGGGCAAGGAACACATGAAGAACAAACGGAGTTGCATACTGAAAACTCCATCGTCGGCACTCAGACTCATCATCTGCGATGAT